TTCGGTCTAAATTCAGCTATAATGACCGTACGTTGTATTCGGGGGAAGACTCTAGTCTGGTGTAAGGCCGCATGTTGAATCTGCCGGCATTGAGAGCACTTCATCAACCCGATTCGACAGACGGAAGACCAAGACCCCCACCAAGTTGACCAAAGACTACTTAAAAAGCCACGAAGAAGGAAGAGCATGAAGAGTGGAGAGCAAAGTGAAAGACAGCATGAGACAAAGAGGGGGGGTCGGGAGGGAGGGCGGTCAGGAGGGAGGTGTGTCGGGAGGGAAAAAGACGTGAAGCTTAGCTTATCATGGACTCAAGGAGTACCAACCTGGTACTGATTGATTTGGGACAGATGGTCCTTGGAGAGCAGGTCTGAGTCCAGAGCATCCATTATCCCTGCAAGCAAGGAGAAGCCAACAACCCTTCACTACACACTAGTACAAACTGCAAATTGCATATCAATCTTTATACCACCCCCCCATCCCCCCCATCCCCCCCATATCTCCAACAAGGCAATTGTGAACTATGATTAGGGAAGCGGGTGATCCACCACAGTTCTTTTCAAGGACTGGCATCGAAGAAGAGAGTGTGCTCCAGTGCCATTTTGCAGACTCCACCGCCGATCTCTGAAACAGAGGTTCTGTCCTTCGGGACATCCGTTAAAATTGGAACGATACAGAGGATGAAGATTAGCATGACCCATGCGCTGTCAAAAAAAAAAAAAAAAAAAAAAAAAAAAAGTTTCTGATCGAATCACGGGTTCCGGTGCTGATACCTCGGTACTTAACTTGGGACCACCTCGGCCCGGTATGGTTTGGTTTGCGAAGAATTACCGAGAAACCGGGGCCATGAATCAGGCCACAATTCTGGGCCAGGTGAAAAAAAGAAGACAGAGTTGCACACAAATGATGACGCTTCTGCGCTGTACTCAATTTGAAAAGGGGAAAGTCTCCGAAGAACGCCGGTGGAGCACTTCTGCTGACTACATAGGGCCTCGCCACACCACTCTCGAAATGTGAAAAAGACAAAAATGTGGCGGGTGCATCTGGCCATGTTCTAGCGGGAAGTTCATTCTCATTTTGCACATTTCGAGAGTGGTGTGGCGATGCCCATAGATTCAAGTTCATTCAATTTTTTTTTATTATTTTTTTTCCTTTTATAACCACCATTACCTTTCAGAGGTCAAGGCTAAGTCGTGTGAATAATAATAATTAAAAAAAAAAAAAAAAAAGTTGTGTGAATATAACCTTTATACCGCATTCTTTGGAGGCAACCGGGGACCAAGTCCCACTTGCAGCGGTTTAGTCCTCAGTTCCGGACCCTGTGTTTTGTGCGACACGTTTCCTGACCGCTGATTCACATTGATCGTAGGGCGCATGGTCGGTTATGTTTTTCTTCGAGCGGAATGGATTTGAATGTTGCTATGTAGCGGTTTCCCATTGGCTGTTATAGTCGGAATGAGCTCTTTCACTCGCAGGGAACGGTCCTCGTCCGTAGCCTGACCCCAGTCGGGCTAGACGTGGGGACTGACGGGCCTTTCATCATTACTGTCATTCAGCACGTTAACCCGTTGTTTGTCAACCAGCCGCACATTGCCACACGAAGTCACACAGTGTCGTGCAGTACTGGCTATGGGAACTAAACCGCTGCAAGTGGGACTTGGTCCCGGGAGCCAGCACACCAAAATGGCGGGCGGCGCAAGCCAAAACAAAAGGGAAAAAAAAAAGGCCGCACTGGCACTTCGGCAAAGCTTGGCACGCAGTTCTATCGACAGGTAATGGAATTGGTTGGTCTTACAAGAATTAGCCCGAAAAAAAAAAAAAA